TAAGTATATAATATTTTATAATAAATATAAAATTGATCAATATTTGGTATTATACCAATATTTATATTATATAAATATTGGAATATTTTTAATCTCTCTTTATTTAACATTATTTATAGTTATGCTTAAATTTTACTTTAATTTATTTTATAAATATTAGTATTCTTTTATTTAATCTATATTCATAAAATTATTTTAATACTTATACTAATATTTAGATTCAATATTGCCAAATAACAGTCACAAAACAGATTTATAAAGATAAATATCAGAATAAAAATATTTATTGTATAATTTTTATATAGTACTGACATTCATTTTATATGCTATTATATATCTGGCAAATAACTGTAGTATAACAGATTATAAGTAGATATATAAATATAACTATCAGAATGTTTAAAGTATCTAAAATTTAACCTATATTTATTTAAATGCCAATATTCAAATTTAATGCCCAAATAATAGCAGCAGAACAAATTTATAAAAGATAAATATCTTTATTGTATTTAGTTCTTATAAAGTACTGATATCTATTTTATATGCTACTATATATCTAACAAATAACTGTAGTATAATAGAATATAAGTAGATAAATAAACATAGCTATCATAATATTAAAATATCTAAAATTTAACCTATATTTAACTTATATTTAATCTATATTTATTTAGAAATACTGATATTCATATTTAATGCTGCCAAATAATAGCAGCAAAACAGATTTATAACTATAATATAAAAGATAAATAATAGAATATTAAAAGAAAACCTTTATTTAACTTATATTTAACATTGATATATTACTGATATTTATCTTTTATTCTGCCTTATATTCATCAAATAACTGTAGCATAACAGATTATAAATAGATAAATAAAAGATAGCTATTAGAATATAAAAGGCAAACTGTTATTTATCTTTTATATATTCATTTGACTTGTATAGTCTGCTCTAAGGTTCTATACTAAATGTTATACTTATAACCTACTAGAAGATTATTTATTTAAACTCTTTAATCATCTGTTCTATTATAATATAATATCAACTAACTTCTCATATATACCTAACTGATATATTATCTAAGCAGTATAATACCTATTCTTTTTGTACTAGTTTCTAGACCATTATATATTTCAGAGTATGATATTTGCTAATAAGATATAAGAGGCTTCTTTTGTTAACTATCTACCTATTCTATAAAACATTAACAAGAGCTACTCTTGTAAAGTTTACCTAAACCTTAGCATTAACTTCAAAGCATATCTCTAGTACTTTTAGTATACTTTTGCTTTTGTCCTTAGACTCTTAATTCAGATAGCCTAAAAGGACTATAACCTGTTCTTAATATATTGAGACCAGTCTGATATCCTTTTTTACTAGTTCAAAATCTGATAGTCTGATTGGTAATACCTTTTATCTAAGGTTTTTGCTTGTCTAATTTCTTTACATTAGTATTTGTTTTCTAGGTCTAGTCTTTACAATAATACTGTTAAAGACCTATGCTGCTTTTTTACTTGGTATTTTCAAGTAGGCTTTAGTTTTTTGGTTTTACAGATTTATATAATTATAAGAACTTATCTTAGATTTGCATTGCTTGGTACTAGTTTGCATCTTTCTGTATAACCAAGTTTATACAGTTGTTCTGTAACCTATCAGTCATGTTAGTATAATTATTGTTACAGACAGTATTGTTATGAAACACAGATGCAGACAGCAGACAGTTTAAAACAGAATGTCTTAAACATGTCCACCAATATTTTTTTGTCTCAGACAATTAATATTATAATAAAAATAACTGTGTTAGCCAATTAGGTTGTTTAATAAACTATATGATATAGGACAATTATCACAAATATGAAACATTGTCTAGAACATAAAACACTGTCCAGAACTGTTTGTGTTTATGCAATTTTGATAAAACAATATTTATATACAATACTGATTACAGATATCTTATCTCAACTGATTAACAGAATACTGTTGTTATAATACTGTTTATGTATTATATAAGTAATTATTTAAATTTTTGCTATTAGTAGATTTTAAACTTACAATCTACTACTTGAAGGATTGACAACTTATTCATTTTACTAAGTTACTACACTTTTAATTATATATTAAATATATTTAAAATATATAATAATTATATAGTTACTAATAATTTAATAGTTTCAAACAATATTTTTATTATATTTTTATAATAAATTTATAATAAATTTTAATATTTATATATGTTGTAGGTGGATTCAGAATTCTGTAAATTCGGAATCCACTTAAGTGGATTTTGAATCTGAAAACAACTTAAGTTGATTTCAGATCATAAAAAAGATCAATTAAGTAATTGAATATTAGTAATTATAAATCAACATATTTAAAACAAAATTGTACTGTATTTTGTGAAAGTTTACAATTAAAATGTCAATCCAAGAATATTTGTTTATTTTGAGACAAGTTTTTAACGAATTAGTCAATAAATTTCTTAAAAAAAAGTCACTTGCTAGACATTACAAAACCTTTATTTCACAATCTGATTATGATCTTATTATTGCAGTACTACATGATCCTACTAATATAAATTTGGGAACTTCAAAAGATCGATATTGGATTAAAATTTCTTTCAGCTATAGGAGTTAGAAACTGAAATAAATCCAAATACTCAAATTATCACTGTTGTTAAAAATGAAAATAGGTCAGAAACAATATGTACTATATGCTCTTTTAATCGTCTTTATGATGTATTATATAAGGTTTATACAGGCATTTTAAAACATGTTGGATTGTCCAAAATGTAGGATGTTGTAAGTAAAACCATATAATTTTTTTAATTGTAAAATTACAGTAACAAATAATGATGACAATGCTTTTTAGATTAGAAAACAATATAATTATATTCCTCAATCGTTTATAAAGGAGTTTTGTGATGCTTGCAAGACATGTGCTACATATTGATTATTTCCTAATTCTCTTTTTGCAAAGCCGATTGTAGCATCAGATTTCCTGTCACGTGTGCAAGTAGATTTAATTAGATTAACCTTTCAACCTGTAGGAGCGTATAAATATATCTGTCATCTTCGTGACCACTTTACCAGATTTTTATAGGCCCAATGTTTCACAATCAAGTCTGCCTCTGAAGTAGCTGTGTTTCTTTATAATATTTTTATGGTATTTGGAGCTCCAACAATTTTGCAATCAGACAATGGTAAAGAGTTTACCGCTGATCTGATTGCAGAATTGCTAACACTTTGGCCTGGTGTATGTATCATTAATGGGCACCCAAGACACCTGCAGTCTCAGGGCATGGTTGAAAGAAGTAATGGGATTTTGCAAACCAAGCTTGGAAAATGGATAGAAGATAATAAAACTGATAATTGGACAGAAGAATTACTATTAGTTATATGTATGTTATGTATATGCATATAATACATATATTATAAACAATTAATTATTATGTATTACTGTTACATATTTAGATGTGATGAACATACAAACATCTCGTGCAACTGGAAAATCACCGTACTCACTTGTATTTGGACAGGATTCTGTCAAGAATTTTTCTATACTTGAAGATTTATATTAACAAAATGTTATGAATGAGGAAGAGTTGCCTGACGATTTTTTTGAAAAATCAGAAAATAATTATTTATTAGACCAGTCTTATTCTTCAACATCTGATCAATCCGAATTATTAGCCTTGAATCAAGAATTCCCAGAATCTTCAGTTTTAAGTCAATCCAGATCTCCAACACCAAATCAGGAAATTTCTCTAATATTAAATCAAGAATCTACAACTTTATTCCAACCTGAATCATCGACATTACACCAACCTGAACCATTGATGCTAAATCAACATAGATCATTGATTATAAATCAAGAAGATAATGTAAATTTTTATTGTAAAATTATTTATTTTTTATTTTTTATTTTTTATTTTATTATTTTATTTTTTTTATTCAATAGGTTAATAAACAAAATTTACTCTTGTAAGAAATTTAAAATATTCAATCACATCAACTATTCCGCAAATATGCAAATAAATCACTTATCAAATATTGAAACTGAATGAAAGACCAAATGTTAAGAAAAAATAATAAGCACCTACTTAAATATTCTATTAATGACTATGTATATATTGCAATTCTGAGAATAGATCGTAATGCCATTGATCAGTCTACTTTATCTTGTAAGATAATCAAGGAATTGCCAAATGAAATATATTGCTTACAATGTAAAAATAGAATACTTGATACCACCTTTAATGTAAATGAAATTATGTCACTAGGGCCGACAAAATATAAAGAGCTTGAAGTTTGTCAAGACAAAATTATTAGTATACAAGAAGCTGCAGGAATGCAGTCTGTTTCTACTGTAACTGGCACCAAATGTAATTGCAAGAGTGAATGCAAAAATAATTCTTGTAGATGTAGGTGTTCTAATTTGGTGTGTGGAAGCAGATGTCATCCACATAGTAATAAATGCAAAAATAAAGAGCATGTTTTTTAATGTTATAGAAAATAAATAATATAATGATTATGCAATGCTTTTAACTATAAATTATATTTTTTATTATCGAAATGCATATTGTTACAATTTTTAAAATTCTATTTCCATTTAAGTTGTTTCCAGATTTAAAATTCACTTAAGTTAATTTGGAATTTACTTAAGTGAATTCCGAATCTACAGAATTCCAAATCCACCTACAACATATATATATATAAACTATAATAAATTGGTTTAGATCACAGATAAATTAGTTTGAGCTTTTATTTTTTCTATAATATTTTAAAAGCAGAATTGTATTCTATATAAAATCTTAATAAATATTCAATAAAGATAGAGGCATAGCCTTATTATTAATATTAAAAAAAAAATAAACTATAATAAACTATATAATATTTTTGCTATATAATAATAATATAATTATTATATTATAAATATATTTAGCAGGGTGTGGCGACCTAGTGAAGTGGTCAGGTTGTCAACCCTCCAAGTGGTAGGTTGGATGTTCAAATCCTATCGATGGT